ACATAAAAATCTCTTATTTAAAAAAAAAGTTTTCGACTTCCTCTGTAGGTATATAAGCGGTTTTTAGTTTCCTGTTCTCTAACTGCCGACCTGTCAATTTTCAAATTTTATTAGTTAAATCTATCTATCAACTATATTGTTAAATTGAACCCCTTTTAGCCATCTCTATGGCCTTTATTTATCTGATATGTAATTTTTATGTAAGTGTGCAGATCTTAACGCATTTTTTTTCTACCTTTTTAGGTTAATTTTACGGCTTCACCCTGTAATTTACCGACTCCATAGATGGACAAATAATGCGCGTATGTATATTTATATGTTCATTATAAAGGACCCTATGTCAAAAGATGTTTCCATTTACGTTATTTAAGTTCAGTTTCGGTTAAATACTAGAATAACTAAAGCTTCTTGCAGAATAATTAAATTTAAACAATTGTTTGTAGGTATCTGTATGTATTTTGGATGTTTGTGCCGATGTCTTATTTACTGAGTTACACAAATTGAGTAATTCTTAGTCTATAGGGACGAGGAAGCGTACCCTAGAGAGTAAAAGCTAATTACGCAGCAATGTAAATACTTTCATTTTCTTTTTCCGAGTGGGTATTTATTTAAAAAAATAAATGTTCAGATGTGTTTCACGAAATATTTTCCAGGTTGGTTTGTACAAGGTTTGTTGTAACATATTTTAATTTCCCAAACGTACAAAACCATGCATTAATTTTAACGCAACATACAGCGACTAGTACGCTTCTGATGCGTAACACACGTACTACAATCTTATCGTGACTTTAATATTTATAAGAAACGTCACAAAAATGTGCTACGAGTGTTCCATTAGTAATTTGTGTAAACCAGAGTCGCTTCTGTTGAAGAGCACTCTGTCACAGCTGACGAACGAAAGAGGAAAATGAATGTAAAAACCATCGATAATGACAAATCGCAGCGCCGCCGTAAGAATGTTGTCCCAGAAATTGCGTGTTTGAGAATTTCAAATTTACAACTGTTACGAGGATCATTCAACAAGTAAATATACCAGGAACAGTATTACGGAAGTAGCAATATAAAAATACAGTGCGACACTGAAAATTACGGGAAATTAAACAAAATGTAAACATAGTCACCATTTACCCAGAAAACTCAAGTTATATAATCACTAGACTAAGAATAGAGCAACTGACTCACGATTTGTTAAATAAAAGTGACAAACCCAAATGCGACGTATGTGATGTGGCTATTAGAATCATACAAATCTTATAACAAATACATCAACCAAGGATCTATTCAAGGAGAGAAGTGCAACTTCGGGAAAATTACAAAGTTTTTAAAATCAATCAATTTGGTCATACACCAAATTATTTATAGTCATAAAATTATAGAAGCGTTCTTGACGCCGCTAGATTTTTTGTGGGAATATGTAAAGGGCAACTTAAACTCGAAATCCAACGTGTCTTCGGCGAAATTCCGAGAAAAACGTGCGAGTATGTCCTGGTGAATTTCATCAAGCGGATTGAGACCTGCCAAAGGAACTGAATTTCCTTCAAGACTTTGCGTTTTATTCCAATAAAATTGTAGGTCACCCGTATTGGTAAACCCTGTATAAATTATACATTGCTACGTACAGAGTATCATTTATTACAGTTTAGTATGGTACTTATTATTAATTTATACCTTTGCTTGTCACACACGTACAAGGTAATGATTAATGCAATTTGTAAACTAAATCCCAAAAAAAATAATACATTTATGGCACAGTACGTTGTACATTTTTAATGTTGCATGTTTTCCTTTGTTCATTTTTTTAAAAATTGGGACAGTTTCTAATATAAACAGTAACAATAGTTTCTTTGACGCTAAGGAATTATTACAAATTGCAAATTTTGACATACTTTAACGACATTTTTTGTTTCAGGTGCGTGTCCCGTGTATTGTTTGTGTTGCCCAAACCCCATTCTGCATCCGCAATGGTTACCTGGAAAGGTTTGTCTAATTAGAATTTTATTTTCCCGAAATCGACATGAACATCAACATTTTCGTGCCTACTTTATGTCTGGAGATTTTAGTTTCTATTACAGTGGCAGTAACACTTTTCTTACTTCCTGTTGCTTTACCAAACTCCTGTCATAACTGACACGTTAATATTAATAAAAAGTTCTATGTGAACATTGAAATTCTACCTATATTAAAGAGAAAGATTTTGAAAAAAATTTAATACAAAATGCACCAGTAAAATGACAGTTCTTAACTCAGAAATTAAATTCAATAGTTTCTCATCGGGAATGCGTTAATTCACTTAATTTCCTGACTTTTATGTAAATAACAATTTTCATTATTCAAATTTGGTCATATGCAATAATACATTCTGCATTAGAATGCTAATGGCCTAAACCTGAATTTAATGTTTTTCTTTAAATGAGGTTACATGTTATATCAAAACAGTTATTTCACAAAACAAAGATATATATTTACTGAACTGAAATATTTTTGTTTTGTGTTAGCAACAACTCGCGAATTAAATGTGTTTTTTCAAATTTTTATGGGCGTCAGCCTAGTATTTAGGATTTAGCCCACACATTTACTGAATAATCAATTCTAGAAACACTCGAAAATGTATTTCAAATTAAGGAAAACAACATTAAAAAGTGATTTCTCATTGTGATTATATTGAAGTATTCTCAGGAAAGTTACCAAATAAACGACGCAAATTCCCGTAAACACAAAATACAGAACTTTATTACAAAAAAGCAACATTTGCGTCAGGAATATAAAATAAATCGGGATGGGACGTTTCATCGTCGCCGATTCATCGTAGCCGTTTCATCGTGGGCCGATTCATCTTCGGCTTTTCAAAGGGGACCTGTTCATATTTTTACTGTTAATTAATATCAAGAACAAAACGGACCTACAAAACGAATAAAATATTCGATTGCACCACGAGAACGAGTTGCGTGCCGAGTTACAACCGTATTAGATTGGTTAGAAGATAACTACATCGGACGACCGGCGTGGCGATGGTAGACGTCCAGGTTTATTTCCTCCCCAAATATGGAAGTTATATGACCGAGTACTTGATCACGAAGATCGTACCAATAACCATGCTCCTCGGCGACTGCAGACAGAGTTGGGAGTTGGTCATTCCAGCATTTGAAAGTTGATAGATGGACTTCGAAAAGTGCAAAGGGTTAGAGATACCTATTATGAACAACTTGTTGCTGGGAATCAACCGCCCGTCAAATTTCCAAAATATCGCCAAACCGACGAATTAGAAAAGTTGCCGTTTACGGCACAAGGGACAGAATAGAGTATTTACGAGGTATTGCTCACAATTACCAATTTTTAAACATGTATACCTACTGCTGTATATTGTTTGCTATTCCGTTTTTATTTTACTTTAAGTTGTGAACTATATAGTGCAAATATATTCATAATCGAAAAATTAACAATGAAACCTAATCTTAACGCAATTTTAATTAGTTGTTCATTTAATTTACATTAATAAGGGTAACGTTAGATGCAATACATTTTATTCCTTTTGTTGGTTTATTTTGTTTTTGACCTTAAATAAACAGTAAAAATATGCGCAGGTCTACTATGCAAAGCCGACGATGAAACGGCCTACGATGAAACGGGCCTCCGATGAACCGGCCGACGATGAAACGGCCGTGATGAAACGGCCACGATGAAACGGCGACGATGAAACGTCATAGACCGAAAATAAATAGCTTGAAATAAATTTGAATGTTACTAATCTTGAAGGCCATGTCTTTTTACCGCGATCTCAATACTATTCGATTTAATTAGAAAAAGATGTAATACCTTCAAAGATCTAGAAATTGTATTTAATGTTAATTTAACATGCAATGATAATGTTAATCATACTGTATCTGCATCTAAGAGCTCAGATTACTTCATTAGGAATTGGAAGCACTTTGCCAATGTGAGATGTTTATACGTTTCCATTCATGCATATTCAGCATATAGAATTCGTATCGTACAGCACACACAAGTACTTAAAGTATATGCAATATGCATTAATATACAGTTTTTGGGCATTGTGATGTACTCATTCTCCTTCCCTTCAAATTTTCGAATACGATTCATCGCAGCTTAGTAAGCCTCAATTGCATTATTAGGTACGTCACTTATTTAACAACCCCCCCCCCCCCCCCCCCACACCCATGCTCTGAAGTGAAACCCTCACAAACAACTTAAATTCTCAAAATCTTGTGAAAATGAAGCAGACTAGAGGAAGGCAATTGATTAGTCAAGCATACGAGGTTTTCGTGATGCCAGCCAGAGTACCGAAAGGCAAAGAATGTCAAAACTTCATTTCTGCAGGGAAACCTCTAAAAAAAAGCTTTATGCGTGTCACTCTGTAAAACTTCAATAACAATTATAACTAAAAGCATTGAATAAAAAATTGAATTT